TCACCTACCTACACAACAGGCCGATGCGTTCCCGAGATGACTTCACTCAGGTATAAACGCAGACAGCGGCCAGTCCAAGAAGTGATGTTGTATTCTGTTTGGTAACTTCCTATGAATACATTGTTGGTGTCCACGTGTGTCTTCCTGGCCGCATTGCTATGAACACTTTATCTTGTTACCGTAATTTTTGCCCACCCTGTACAATCAGTGTACTATGATAATGAATAAATCAAAATATTTGATCAATCACAGATAACTTGTATTTCCGCCGCGAAACTGTGATTCGTGCAGTGATTCAGTGCAAAACTGGGAAAAGTGTTGGCGGTGTGGAGGTTGCGCGAGGGCGTTCGGGTTGAAGTTAGCGAGTTTCGTACTAGATCAACTAAAGCTTTACATGAGCGCCCTCACTACTTATTTCGTCAAATGAAATATTCGCCAGCAGGGATAACTTTTCAAGAACCTCTTTCCCTTAGAGCATCTCTTTTCATGTTCGAAAATTTGTAGTGATTTTAGAAACAAGGAGAAAGGAAAAACCGGTATCCGTACTCTATGCCTTCAAAGTCACAATTTTGTGGCCGCAAGCGCATAACTTTTCTCATGCTTACCCTCTATTTCCGCAAACCAGATGCGCGTCGAGTGCAGACCACACACCACAAGTGACGACGGCCTCCACAAAATGTAATTGTTTTCTGCCAATGAAATGATTAGCCGGTTGCAGTTGTATTCTATCAGTTTTCACTGATTACTGCATTCTATCAGTTTTCACTGAACACATCCACCATTTCCCATTTATCAGTATGAACCGCTAGTTTTCAGACTCACGTGGAAGCCCTTGTGTTCGTACTCTGAACTCAATATGCACCTGGTTCTCAAAAGACGTGGGCAACTCTGCGTATTTCGTGTCAATTTACTTCAGGCTATTCAGGTTGGCAATGCTTAAGTGCACGCTCACCTTTTGGTAGTGGGGTCTATCACACAGTGCATAGCATTTGCTAGAGTTTGATTGTTACATATTTCTTTCAACACAGAAACAAAGACAACAAAGTCGGCGTTGTCTAGTTTTCCTGAAAGCGATTCTTTATAACTTTCTCTCATGAAAGAAGTCCACAAGGAAGGCAGTCGAGGTTGTAGTCAAACTTTATGCTCATAAGTTCTTCAAGAAGGAGGACTCATCTTCACTACAGCCTCTTCTGTTTGGGTCTCAACACTGTTTCTAGAAGAGACTAGAAAATGCAAGGCTTGCGCTCATAAGTAACCGAAAACGCAAAGCAACGTAAACCGATATACATAGTCTCAGTGCTTTTTTTTACGGTACTCCGATGCCAGATCTATGTACGTGACAACTCTCTATTCATTTCAATCAGAGTGTATTTTCAAAGCTGATTTCACGAAACTTCCTCTTGTTCAAAAATTGCTTGTCTTGGAAGCTTGAAACCATTTAACAAGTAACTCTGGTCCTCTACTGGAGCCTTATTGGAACTAAACTTGCAAATGCCGAGGATTCAAGAAATCTTCTAGAGAGCCGTGGAATACCCAATCGCGAAAGCTTTTCAAAATAATTCGCAATATTTAGGTGCTTAGCCCTTCTTCAAACCTGAATTAGTACTCCTTCTGAAGTCAGATAATACACAAAATACAATGAACCGACTCACGCGCGTTTGCCTCACCGTCAATTGAATCTAAACTCTCCCTGACTCACGAAATAAGGATAGCTCAACCCGCATCCCTTCAATAGCAGGGATGCCGTGCAGCGGCAACAAAAGCGAAGTACCAATTACA